TTAACCTTTCCCAAATAACTGTGAATGCCAATGTTTTAATTATATTTCTGTCCTACCCACAGCTGTCTTTCTGCCATTATGTTTTCCTAGCTTATTAACATCAAGAATGAGCATTTCTCGCTTAGGCATTTACAGTAGTAATTTTTTAACTTTGGTACTACCTAACAGCTTTCTCTGGGTTTCCTGTGGTTGTGAACATGATCAGACAACAGCCTGGCTTTACCTCTCTTCCCCAGTACTCATTTTAGGAGCTGAAAGCCCTACATACCTACCACAAGGATCTGAATGGGGATTATCAAGACAGGAGGGCAGACATTTACATGCTTTTCCTTTCCTTTCCTTCGGACAGTGGTGCATGGGATCCTTTTACCTCCAAAATGAGGCAGCTGCATCCTGCCAGGTGTACTCACACAGTGGCTTCAGGAGAAATCAGCTCCCACTGCCTCATTTCCACTTACTCTTTTCACAGGTGGGGACAGGAGGGTCCCATGTGCCTCCAAACTGGCACCGGGACTCTTGAGAGCCCTTTAAGGCATAACCAAAATTGCATTCAAAGACAACGGTGTCCATAAGTTTGTACATGGTCTCTGCTCCAGTTGTTCTTCCATTATCAATCTTTGGTCTTTTGCAGCCAGTTGCTGGAAGTGAAGAATATAAAGCATCATTTAGGATGTGAGGCCTGTGCTGGGTGTGGAAGGGTGCTGACATGAGCCAACAGCTGCGCCGGAGCCTTAGCATCACTCTCGCAGGCATCTCAACATTATTAAGTCTTACTCACACAAAACACTGAGAAATATCAATATCCAGTTGTACTTGAGAGTCAGCCCTTACTGGGATAAAGAAAGGGAAATCCAAAGAGGCCTGTGAGCTCTCTCTGCCTATGGGATCTTTGGCCTGTGCCTCTAATGGAGATTTGGTCTGCAGTGATTAAACTGAGAGCAAAAAAGGGAGAAAGGACCCAGGGAAAGATAAAAGAAGCCAACATGAACACACACCTTCACATCGGGGCCGGGGACGGCTCCATGTTCCCAAGACAGTACAGTTAATGGATGCATTCCCAATGAGGGAATAGCCATCCCTGCAGGTGTACTGAACAGTCATTCCTGGGAGAAACTTGTCTGAGGACTGATGGCTGTGCTTCCCGTTGGCAATGATTGGAGGAGGGGGACAAATCACCGCTGCAAAGGGGAAGGAAAGACAAGTCAAAAATAGGGAAAGGGCAAAAAACCCTGAAAAATAAACAATACATAAAATATTCTAATTTTCAAAAACCAAAGGAGAAGGACAATTAATTCCATTAACTCTTTTTAATAAATTTCTGTAAAAATAGTTGTCTTCCTGTCAGTGGGAACAGTAACCACTTGCATGTGGGCCAACCACTTCACTGCTGTGCCTGTCCTTTCTTCTGCGACTCATAACTAATTATCCACATTTACAGATGGAATATTTGTGAGCAATGTGGATAATTAGTTATGAGTCGCAGAAGAAAGGACAGGTACACGTGTACGTGACCACAGCCGCGTAGGAGAAGTCGTCCATCAGGTGGCCAGTGTGTCTCCCACGAGGGATGTCCGGAGGTGGGTCACACACGATTGCTGCGGGGCACGTACAAGGTGGCTGTTAGAGTGAGCACTACAGCAGTGCCTCGGGATCTGCCGGACAAACTCACTTCCCCAAGAAAGGAGCCAACTGCGAAGGCCCCATCTCAGTGGTAGTGCTCTCTGGATAAGATGACCTAAATTTCCTGGGCACCAAGGTAACAAGAGCTGTGGAGTGAACGCCCGGTGGGGAAGGTGCACTTGTGGGAGGGAATACCCGTACCCTTCAGCAAGCCATTTCTCCTCCTCCTGCTTTGCTGTCCCTCTCTGAAGGAGGTAGGACAACTCTTACCTCCCTTTTCCATAACCCGTTGTGACACAGGCAGAGTGGAGAAACTGGCTACGCCATTCCTACACATAGTTCTGACTCCGACCAGTCAGAAGTACTTCTCCAGCCATACGGACTTTAAAATATTAATTTTTTTTTTCCAATTTGGACCAGCATAAATAATAGACCTTTGGGAACATTTCAAAAACATCCAAAATAAAACAAAAACGCAATGAACACGGAAAGAAACATGAAAATATTTTACAAATGCACTGACTGCATATGAGAAACATTTTGCAGTAAAATCTTTGGTTTGAATGATTAGCTACTCTCTCTTAAAAACACTGGAGCAAGCAATCTCCAAGAACCTTTTGCTGTGATCTACTTACGCTGGCAGACAGGAACATCTCCACTCCATAAAACACGTGTGCCAGAGACCTCACATCTTCTCTGAGAAGGTCCAATCAACTTGTGTCTGTAGTTACAAAGAGGGATTTCTTGCTTTATATACAACCCTTGTAAGTGGCAACCCAGACTTCTCACCTGGGAAGTAGGTTCTTTAGCGTAAAACCGTTTTGCCACTTAAAATCTGCTAAGCTCTCGATTGGCAGCTGAATTTAGCTAATCGTAAGACTCACCCTTCTTTACAAGTGTAATTCACTTTTGACCCGAAGAAGAGATCAGTCAGAATTACAACTCCGCCATTCTCCGGTGCCTCTGGGTTAGCACATTGCTTTCCTGGAAGCGAACATCAACTAGCATTAGACCTCTCCCGTTCAAGGCATGGTGCAGTGAAATCTTACACCAGAAATCCTAACACAGAGAATGGACTGCAGAAAGTAAAGAAACCCACAAAGTTAGAGGGATTTACACTCAAATAGTGTTAAAAATCTACCCAAGGCCAGCAGTCGTTAGATTTTTCAGCATTTGCAGAACATACTTTTACAGAACTCCAGTGCTGCAGACCACGTCCGATTTTGGAGACACGTGATAGATGGCTGAATTGCCGGGTGTCTGGCATATCCAGGCCGACACACATATTCTACTGCCTTTCCCACAGCAAAGATAGTCTGATTGCTGTACTCCTTCTTTAACTCAGCAAACACCAGTCTTGTAGGTGCATTACAGCCAGCTATCAAGAAAGATAAGAGATGTTAGAGCCTCTCTTTTGTGCTGCCTACAAAATGTAGGCCGTGTAGAGCGTAGTTGCAGGTACATAGAAAAACTGTAAAAACAACCTTTCACTTACCTCCTTCACTTTTTCAAGTGCTACCTAGAGTGTTTATGTGTGCTTGTTTTCCGCAAATAATTTCCACCTGCTACACTTTTCTAATATTATACAAATGCCATTTTCAGTTCTCCATATGCCCAAAGCTCCTTCTCATCTTAAAGCAAAGGAGTCTATAAACTCACATAGGACCAATGAGATCATGATTACATTTAAGCATAAATTCTTTTTAAGCTATTTGTTCTGTCCCTGAGGACTACACCATCATTTCTATGGAGTTACAGTGCCCTGCTCAAACAAGTGATGTTTCTTTTACATTGGTGGTGATTCACAAATAGACTCTTCTCCAATGAGAAAGTGAATTATGCTGCTCTCTTGAAAACGATTTGCTCTGTCTGTCCTTCCCCACAGGCTCCCCTGTCCCACAGACCTGCCTGGAAGCACAGCAAGGAAAAAGCAGTGGTACAGGAAAGGCAGATCTGGCCAATCCACTTTTCAAAGTCAAGAAAAGGTGCAGTAGGGAGAGCATTGGGAAGGTTAATATCCAAAACACTATTTGAACACTTGCCCTGTTCACAGGCTGGCACAGGTGGCTCCCAGGTGTTATTTAGTTGACATTGTACCACACTGTGGCCACGCATGACGTAGCCTGGCTCACACTCAAAGGTAACTGTGTCTTTGTGTGTGTAGGCATTCTTAGCAGCAGACACTCTTCGCCCATTCTGGATCTGTGGGACAGGACATGTAACCTCTGGAAAAGAAGTGAAGGACCTCAGAACAGGAACAGTTGTGCAGCTGTGAAGTCTTTTACAATTGCAATGACTTTTAGACTTAAGTCTGAAAACAATTTTCCTAGATCATCTACTGCCTGCACCCAGCCATGTCAAGCAGTGAGGGAACGATCCAAACTGAAAGATAAGGCTGTGGATGCTGGAGGCAGTGGGGCAGCGCCAGCAGTCTCCTCCCAGCTGCCTGACCAGAGCTGTAAAAATAGCACATGCAAATCTTGCTATGGAGGAACACACAGACAAAAGTGCAATTATCTAGGGGCTTCCTTGTCTTTCTGAATATGCAGCAGTAGGGCCGGGAGTATTGTGCCAAGGGTTGGCATGCACACACTGCACCCTACCTCCGCACTGAGGGGGAGGTCCGCTCCATACACCGTTCTGCCCGTCCTCAGTGGTGCAGTGAATGGAGGACTCCCCTCGTGGAGGCTGTCCTGAGTCACAGGTGTACGTTACAGACGTGCCGAAGTGGAATTCGTCTAACAGCCTGCCCGTGTGCTTCCCGTTAGGAATATTCGGAGGTGGCTCACAAGGAATACCTGGAGAGATGCAGAACAAGTCTTCTAAATTCAACAGTGGCACTAAAGTATCTGCAGTCCCCCAGTCTGTGGGACACAAATACTTGTTCTAGAGATGGAATAACTGCAATGAACTAACCTTCCAGGTGATACCCTCTAGGCATCTGCAACCCATTTCCCTGATCAGCAATACTATGCAAGTCAAAAAGCAGACACAGTAGGACAAACCTCTATGGAGGAAGCATCTACATGCTTTATCTTTTCTACCGTTTAAAAAATTAAAAAGCGAAAAATATTTCTTTTGTGTCAACTGTGTAAAATCTTGGTTTTTCAGCAGCACACAGCACAAAGACACACACAGTCAGTAATTTGTATGTCACCTTTTAGGTTAACATGCACCAGGAAGATTGGTAAAATGCTTTTAAATATCAGAATGTGCTAGTAGATATCTTTTTTTTTTTTTTTTTTTTTAATATGAAGCTCTGTCACCAAACACTACTTCACCAAGCTCTAGTTGCTGACGGCAACTCTTTGGGTACAAACTAGCCATCCATGTTTGTAGTAAAAGAGATGGCCCAAAATTTGAGACTTTGGGATTCTATTTCTGGCCCTCCCACAGCGCCCTGTAACTCCCTAGACTAAGTATTTTGATCTGTCTGTGTCTAACATTACCACCCACTGAGCTGGGCACAATATTTTCCCTTCCTTTTGCGTAATGTTTTTGTGATATTAGTCAAAGACAGGACATAAAAATACTACTGAAAAAGCTCCAGCTGAGACATGGCTTTCTACAACCCATTAAGCTTTGAGATCTTGTACCTTTTCCCAGAATATTTTCGTATGAAATCAAGATCATCTGATATTTTTTGTGCCCACAGAGCAGAGAGGTTCCCCGTGAAAGCTTTGATTTGAATGATTTGGCAGTCTCTGCTGAAAAATATTTACCAGAGCAACGCAAACCACCTAGAGCTGTAAGCTACTTACGCTGACAAATGGGAATGCGGCCACTCCATTCAACACGTCCTGTATCAGAAATCTCACATCGTCTGCTAGGCTGCCCAATTAACCTGTGCCTGGTGTTAGAAGGATTTAACATTCATTCCAGGTCATTTCAATTTGAGTTATTAACTCCTTCTCACCACCCCTGACAGTCCAAGCAGCCCTGCTGACACCCTGCTGATGTCAAACCTTGTCGGAGAAGCTCCCTTCCTAGCTCAGTACCCCCTTTCCAATTTGACAATATATACATGCATGCATATGAGACAGAACACCGTATCTGTTCATATGTGTACAGCACTCTATACAGGAGCCAAATCAATTTTGGGAATGAATGAATAGGAAGGAAAAACAGGGACTTACCAAATGCATTTTTCGTTGCAGTTTTAAGTAGCAGCAAAAAATAAGTCTGCAACCTAGAACTTACCCTTCCTCACAGCTGTAGATCACTGTTGACCCAAGTAGGAGATCTGTTATGAAACTAATCTTGCCATTCTCGGGTTCACCAGGATGCCTACACTGCTTCCCTGTAGAAGAACAAAACTAATTTTAGACTTCTCTTTATCTGTACCATGGTACAACAAATGCAACTAATACTCCAATAATCTGTCCACATTTCCAATTACCCCCAAAATGGGTTTTGAATATCGTAAAGTTACATGGCTTTACTAGTCACATACTATTTGAACAACAAAATAATATTAAGATTTTTGCAGCATGGACAGATATCACCTATTCCTTCTTGAACAACGGACACCAAATCAATGGAGCTATTCACTTTTACAGAACTCTAGCGCTTCTGACCACACTCCACTGTCAAGGCATGTAATAGTAGGTGACATTCCTGGGTGTTTAGCATATCCAGGTCGGCAAGTGTATCTCACAGTCTTCCCAACAGGAAAGTCAATCTCATTTTTATACTCCTCACTTAGCTCAGCAAAGAGTAACCTTGTAGGAGCACCACAACCACCTATCAAGAAAGAAAACACACGTGAGAATTAGCACTTTTCCAATTGCTTTGGTAGCACAAGCCCGCCAGATGCAGGTGCAGAGAGAAACACTGTTACAAAGAAAGGTATCGGATTTGCCTTGCAAAAGCATTTATTTTGATTAATATAGATGAAACACTGAACAGATTAAACAGATGAATCATCTTTTCCCACAGGATCTGGTCCTGCTCCTGCTGGCAGCCTGTTCCCAGGATGTACTTATATCTTCCACTTGCTTGATAGTAAAAATATAGGATTTAAGCATTTTTTTTTTTAAAACGGCCAGAGTAAGGGACGTAAAATAGTAGAGCACCCAAGTGTCATGATTTACCTAGAAGTGCACGCCTAGGTGGAAGCCTTGGTGAAGGTTTACCTCTACTACAGACTGGAACAGGAGGATCCCAGGTGCCATCCTCCTGGCAGTAGATTTTAGCACTACCTTGCAGGCTGTAACCATTATGACACTGAAATGTAACTGTTTGCCCAGGTCCATAGATAAGTCCTTGACCATCAACTTTCCTTCCATTCTCTATGTCTGGATTTATGCAGATAGTCACTGAAAATGAAGATGTGCAGAAGTGATGTGCAAAAGCAGTTAAAAAAAAAAAAACTACCAGAGGTTGTCATTACTGCAAGCAACAAATTATGCATGGCATTTCTATCAACTTCCCCAGTCCCCCCTTCATAGTAGAATGGCTTGAAATTAATTTATACCAGGCCACACTTTAAATGGGATTAATCAACTCTGAGGATTCAGTTGCAGTTGTTGGCTTCTCTCCTATGCTACCTCCTGTGCTGGGAGCTGCTGGCTTTTGGGGCAAGGTCAGAGATCACAGACACACCTTCACAGCGAGGCGTGGGAAGGCTCCAGTTCCCAGAGGCTCTGCAAAAAGCAACTGCGTTTCCAACAAGGTAGTAGCCGGGATCGCAGGTGTATGTCACGGACATCCCCATGGTGAAAAACGCTGTGCCCTGGCCATTGTGATTCCCATTGTCGATCCCTGGAGGCATGGGGCAAGGTCGGACTACAAAAGAGAGAGACAGCAGCTCTAACAAAGCAAGAGAATAACCTGAAAGGGGGAATGGGCTCAGTGCGCAGGCTGAGGTGGTGGAGCAAGGCCAGGAGCACCAGCCGGGGAGCAGGTTGGGGCAGAGCTACCCAGGAGGACCCCCGCGACGGCCCGAGGCGCTCGTGGGTGCACCTCAGGTCTGTCCCGCTCCCCAGCCCAGTGCCCGGGGCACCAGCAAGGAGCCCGGCAGCACTCACTCCTTGTGCAGCTGGGCGGCTCCCACGCGCCGCCTGGTTGGCACTGTGTCTCAGAGGTGTCCTCTGCAGCGTACCCAGCTTCACAGTCAAAATGAAGAGTTTCTCCAGCTCTGTAGGTGCTCTGCAACCCATGAATTTTCCCATTCTGAACCTTGGGTCTCTTGCAGCCGATTGCTGGAGGGAACATGGATGGCATCCTTTAAATGCAAGCGCGTGGGTAGGACAGCAGCCAGATCTGGCACACACAGCCACGGCCCTCTCCTCACTTCCATAAGCATTGCCCACACCCAGACGCACATCACTGCAAACGCGCCCAGCCACCGCAGCCCCGCTCTGCACGGCCGAGGTGGAGGGGGCCGGCGGGATGCAGTGAAGGCGCAGGGGAGGGGGATCCGCGCAATGCAAAAGGCTGCTCTTGCCCAAAGGCTGCGTGGCCTCCATAAGCCCTCGCCGGCACTGGTGGGAGGAGAACAGTGCCCCAGCCCAGCGCCCCGGGGTTGATACTCTTTGCAGGCCCAGTGCCTGGAGAGGCAAGTATCAACCCACCTTCACAGCGGGGCCGGGGCCGGCTCCACAGCCCGGCATCTGTGCAGTTGATGGACATGTTCCCAATCAGCGTGTAGCCATCCCTGCAGCTGTAGTACACAGTCACTCCCCGGGGAAAAGTGTCCGAGGACTGGCCACTGTGCTGCCCGTTGGCGATGTTTGGTGGTCGAGGACACTTCACCTCTGGAAAGGAAGGGGAAAGGGTCAGGAGAGTGCCTGGAAGAGGTGAAGTCCGAGAGAAACAACTCAAAGGCACATAAGCAACAGAAATAGTAGGGAAGCGGGAAGGGGGGGGGTGCAGGACCGTTTTTATCCAAGGTACTGCCTGTGTCTGCAGCTTGACAGCCAGTCTCATGGTGCCCCATGTTTTAATGTTGCATCGATTTGTAAAAAATCCAGCAATTTCTATCCCCAAGACTGCGTCTTGGGGCACAGTGATGGCTGTGCTACAGCAACGCGTCTCCAGCTGGATCACTTCTCGGGCCCACTAGAGCCAAGCTGGTGCCGGAGTACTTTGAGGAGGGAGCTCGTTTTGAAGACTCCTTTGCATTTAGTGTCAAATCAACCAATGCACTGGCTTTTGGCACTCACTACCAGGCATTCGTGTCCAATAACTTGAATTATTGAATTGCAATGCAGCACAAGCCAGCCCACACACTGCACTGGCCAGGGACAGGCAGGGTAGGCACGAGGGCAGCAAACACCCAGCCTGGAGAACTACGTTTCACTGAGCTTGGAAACAAGAGAACGTAAGCTGTCAGAAGAGCTCTTGGTTCCCTGGCACATGGCTCCTAACACTGAACATGCAGCGCTGATAAACCATGTATATAAAATTACCTAGCTCCGTGTTCACAATTGTAAGCTTATCCTTTATGTTTTATAAAACTGTATAATTCTGTGATTCTGTGACTAAAATCCCACACCAAAGGTCTTAATTGCATTGGTCAGCTTCTCTCCTACGCTACCTCCTGTGCTGGGAGCTGCTGGCTTTTGGGGCAAGGTCAGAGATCACAGACACACCTTCACAGCGAGGCGTGGGAAGGCTCCAGTTCCCAGAGGCTCTGCAAAAAGCAACTGCGTTTCCAACAAGGTAGTAGCCGGGATCGCAGGTGTATGTCACGGACATCCCCATGGTGAAAAACGCTGTGCCCTGGCCATTGTGATTCCCATTGTCGATCCCTGGAGGCATGGGGCAAGGTCGGACTACAAAAGAGAGAGACAGCAGCTCTAACAAAGCAAGAGAATAACCTGAAAGGGGGAATGGGCTCAGTGCGCAGGCTGAGGTGGTGGAGCAAGGCCAGGAGCACCAGCCGGGGAGCAGGTTGGGGCAGAGCTACCCAGGAGGACCCCCGCGACGGCCCGAGGCGCTCGTGGGTGCACCTCAGGTCTGTCCCGCTCCCCAGCCCAGTGCCCGGGGCACCAGCAAGGAGCCCGGCAGCACTCACTCCTTGTGCAGCTGAGCACTGGCGGGTCCCACGCGCCCCCTGGTTGGCACTGTGTCTCAGAGGTGTCCTCTGCAGCGTAACCAGCTTCACAGTCAAAATGAAGAGTTTCTCCAGCTCTGTAGGTGCTCTGCAACCCATGAATTTTCCCATTCTGAACCTTGGGTCTCTTGCAGCCGATTGCTGGAGGGAACATGGATGGCATCCTTTAAATGCAAGCGCGTGGGTAGGACAGCAGCCAGATCTGGCACACACAGCCACGGCCCTCTCCTCACTTCCATAAGCATTGCCCACACCCAGACGCAAATCACTGCAAACGCGCCCAGCCACCGCAGCCCCGCTCTGCACGGCCGAGGTGGAGGGGGCCGGCGGGATGCAGTGAAGGCGCAGGGGAGGGGGATCCGCGCAATGCAAAAGGCTGCTCTTGCCCAAAGGCTGCGTGGCCTCCATAAGCCCTCGCCGGCACTGGTGGGAGGAGAACAGTGCCCCAGCCCAGCGCCCCGGGGTCGATACTCTTTGCAGGCCCAGTGCCTGGAGAGGCAAGTATCAACCCACCTTCACAGCGGGGCCGGGGCCGGCTCCACAGCCCGGCATCTGTGCAGTTGATGGACATGTTCCCAATCAGCGTGTAGCCATCCCTGCAGCTGTAGTACACAGTCACTCCCCGGGGAAAAGTGTCCGAGGACTGGCCACTGTGCTGCCCGTTGGCGATGTTTGGTGGTCGAGGACACTTCACCTCTGGAAAGGGAACAGACATTGCTGAATTAGCTAATCGCCATTTTGCATGTTATTAGAACTGTTTGCCAGAATAATATCCTGAGTTCTGCTCAGCCTTTGTTCTGTTTCCTGGACCAAAATATTAAATAACAAAAAAGTTCAGCCACACCAAGATTATTTATCACATCGTAGCTGGAGGAAATTACTCATAATATGAACATTTCCTGAAGTAAAAGCTTACAGGTAAGTCACGGGATTTGGCAGAAGGTGCACAGGAACACACAAAAGCAGTGAGAGGAGTGAGAAGTTGTGATTGCTTCCTGTTCCCATTTCAGATCACGGAAGCTGCTAGCAGGAAGCACACAGGGACGTGGAAGTGTCCCAGTCTTGACTGTAAGCAGAATCACAGAAATCCCCACAGGCAAGCAGCTATTGCCATTTCTCTGTGGCTGGCCTGCTGATCATTTACATGCTTGAGAAATTACAGGCGCCTGCTGCATCACAGGGAACACAAAGACCACAGCACACAGGGAGATCGGCTGGGAAGTCAGTATCTTCACACCCCTCTCAAAGCCCAGGACAGAGCAGACTGCACTTAGCTTCATATCCCATCCTAGCAGTAAGCTCCTTTCTTTTGAGCTAATTATGTCTCTCCGTAACTGCCTTAATTTGAGAAGAGAAGTAAGGACAGATACATCCTGGCTTTGCTTTCCCCCTGAATTTGAGAGGACACAAGAGGGAGCTTCCCCCCCCCACACACACACACAGCTGTTACCACTCACACCCTCATGCTGGGACACTTGCCCTTTTTGCAAACTGGCAGAGGTGGCCTCCACTTGAAATCAGCTTGACACATGGTTGTATGGGAGCCCTGAATGGCATAGCCTGGATTGCACTCAAAGCTTACAGTATCCCCAGTCCTGTAGATGTAGTGAATAGGGGGCAGCCTCCTCCCATTCTGGATGCGTGGGAATGGGCATCGAATATCTGGAAAAGAAGGCGAAATAACAGTGTTTAGCTACACAGCTCTGAAGCCTTTCATACCTGTGATGGTTTCCATGTTGATGGTTTCCATGTCACTTGTTGAACTGCATGAGATTCCTGGGAGTGATGGGGACGAGCCCCACCGGCCAGTGTCCTTTACTTGTCCCACACCAGCAGCCCACACTAGGGTGGCTTTGCTGGGCTGTAGTGTGAGCCCAGCTGCTTCCTCAGCTGGAAGAACGGAGTCACTGGATTTATTATCGTATGGTGTCACCAAAAGCCCTTCCAGGCTTTGCTGCATACTTCTAAGCTATGGGCTGGGAAGAAGAGTGCTTGGATGTGTTGGGTGACACTTGCTGCTGGCGCAGCCGGTCCCCCTGCTTTAGCACCATGCGTGTTCATCTAATCCAGGCCAGGGAAAGGATTCAGCTGGTAGGAAAAGTTAGGTGCATTCTCGAGGGCTCATCCGAGGAAGGACTCGCATGTGCAGGAAGGAGTAGAGCAGGGAGGACAGTCCCACAGCGAGGTACGCACCGAGTCCGCACTGTGGCGGGGGCCCACTCCATACGCCGGTCAGCCCGTCCTCCGTCACACACTGGATGGAGGCCTCACCAGTGCGGGTGTAACCTTGATCACACGTGTATGTTACAACTGATTGATAGGAGAACTTGTCCATGAACCTGCCAGTGTGCTTCCCGTGGGGAATATCTGGAGGTTGTTTGCACTGAATCCCTGGAGAAATAAGATGGGGGGGCAGAGACAGACAGACCAACCGACTTTTAGAATCAAAACTACCAGAGCAGCAGCTTTGTTCACTAGGCAAATATTTGCACCAAACATGAGAATGTAAAAAGAACGTAAAACAAATGCCTCGTGCCGGCAACGGACTTTGGATGACTGGATCCGATGTCTCTGAGCAACGTGCTGCCTTACAGAGCCAAAAGGCTGCCGAGAAAAGGGTGGCAGCTCCGTCGCTACGCGCAGGACGGAGGCGCGTCAGACGAACATATTCAGAAACCAACATTGCAAAAGAAAATAACTACTTAACCTTTGCACAAAGCGGTACCTTAGTGGCAACTCATCTGTTCTCACAGAAGCCACCCTCTCCAACCTGTGCGCAGCCCCCCATCTCGGCTCTCGACCTGCCGATGAGCCGCCTGAGACAGGAGGCTGGCGGTGGTGGGTACCCGCTCC